GTGTTCCTAACTTCATTCCCTCTTAATTTCTTCAACTAATCACTAATTTCCTAGCCCTAAATCATGAAATCAAAGTAGAAATTGAGGGTCTTGGGTAGAGCTAGGGTTTTGAGAATTTTGGGTGATTCAACCTCAATTTGGGGTCGAATCTTAAAACAAATTGCATATTTGAACTCGTGGGGTTATGGGTGATTGGGTTTTGGTCCGAGCCTCGTGTTTGGACCATGTGGGCCCGGTGTCGAATTTTGGTATTTTGGAAGAATGCTAGGAAATTCATTTCTAGGCTATGGGATTGTGTTTTTGAGCCTTTATTGATATTATTGAATTAATTATGCCTAGATACCATTGTTTCGGAGTCGGACTGTAGAGGAAAGGCGGTATTAGAGAGTTGATTGCTATATTGGACTGAGGTAAGTGTTTGTTCTAACTTTGGCTTGAGGGAATAGGACTAGGATGTTATTTGCTATCTGCTAAATGTGGAGTACGGTGTATAGGCATGGTGACGGTTATCTATGCACCGGAGTCTAGCATGACCGTGAGTCCTAATTGTGTTGACTCGGACTTTTGTGATACATCTTCCTTGTTTAATTGATAAGTTTCATATAACGTGAATGGTTGAGGAAGATATGTGATTGGTATATTATTGGAGCGTTGGCTCGAACTGGAAATTGATAATTGAGAAAGAAGTGATTAAAAGAGGAAGTGTTGTGATTATTCCCTTGCCGGGACGCGTAGTCTATTATTGTTGTTGCTCCCTTGCCGGGATTTAAGCATTATATGTATTCTCCCTTTCCGGGATATTTGGGCTGTTAGTTGTACCCTTTTCGGGTTAAATCGTTATGTTGTTGAATTCCCCTATTGGGGCCTCCTCTAGAAAGATTATATGTATTATTAATTATGAAATGGGATCATGTGGCACGTCGTCCACTTATGAATTATGAAATGGGATCGTGTGGCACGCCGTCCACTTATGAATTGTGAAATGAGATTGTGTGGCACGCCGTCCACTTATGAATTATGAAATGGGATCGTGTGGCACGCCGTCCACTTATGAATTACGAAATGGGATCGTGTGGCACGCCGACCACTTATAAATATATACTATGGGATCGTGTGGCGCGCCGACCACTTATAAATATATACTATGGGATCGTATGGCACGCCGACCACTTATATGAGTCGTAGTATTGATGTAGTTTCGTCTATATATCCGTTGATCTGTTTTCACTGTATCCCCCCGAGCATGCCCCCTTCCCAGTTTTATTTGATGTTTTTCTGTTGTTATTTCCGTTGCCTTTGTATATATACATCTGCACAGGTTGTTTTTGGTAGGTCCTGTCTAGCCTCGTCACTACTTCATCGGTTAGGCCAGGCACTTACCAGCACATGGGGTCGGTTGTGCTGATACTACACTCTGTGCATCTTTTGCATAGATCCAGGAGCAGCCTTTGGACATCAGCAGTAGGATTGCCCGGGAGCTGTCTTCAGTCCAGGGACTCACGAGGTAGCCTAGCTGGCGTTCGCGGGCCGAAGTCCCTTCTATGTTTTAGTTTGTTTTCTTTGTTTCGAGACAAACAGTATGTAATATCATTTCAGACTTGTTTTTAGTACTCTATAGCAGTCCGTGAGCTAGTGACACCAGACTCTGGGTAGAAATGTGTTTCAACTTCCGGAAATTTTATGTCAGTTATATAAGTTTAAAGTCTTCCGCTTTAATTAAAATGCCCCGTTTATTTATATTGTTAAAAAGTCATCAGTGAAAAGTTTTGAATATTTGGCTTGCCTAGCTCCGACAGTAGGCGCCATCACGACTCCCGATGGTGGGGAATCCGGGTCGTGACACAGTGTTTTTCAAGAAGACATGGGGAATTATAGGTGATGAATTAGTTGAGGCTGTCCAAGAGTTTTTCATAACAGCTGAGGTATATAAGCCAATTAATTGCACCATAGTGACTTTGATACCAAAGGTGCTGAATCCATCTAGAATACGTGAGTTTAGACCAATATTCTGCTGCACCATATATAAGATTATATCCAAAATTATCACTGGCAAACTATAAGAGGTAATGAATTATCTGATAGATGATAGTCAACCAGCGTTTGTTCCTGGAAGGGTAATATCAGACAATATCATACTTAGTCATGAACTAGTTAAAGGGTACAACAGGAAGCTATTTCACCAAAATGCTGTATGAAAATTGAAATTACATCACAAATGTGGAAGAAGTTATTAGAATGGCATGGAATTACAAGGAGGGCTCAAGGATGGTCTGAAGAAGTTCAATAGGCAGAGGTTCATGCAAAAGGACAGTCAACAATGGCAAATATGTACAGACTATGCATGGCTGCGTGCGTCTACCACATATGGATGTAAAGGAATTTGAGGATTTTTCAAGGAAGTCCAGGCCAAAGGAGACCATTATTCGACTGATAGCACAGGAAGTCCATAGCCGAGGAAATTTGCATAAGAAGTTAACTAGGAAACTGCAAGCTATGAAGTGGTACCCTAGAGATTGAGGATAGCCTGATTTGTATTCATTCTTGTACTCAATGATAGAGTAGGAAGAGTTGTCTGATGAGTATAGAACTTGGGGCATGATGTCCAAGTTCCTAGGAAAGAGGAGTTGTAAATGGTATATTTGGTTTGTGAAATGAAAATTTTACTTACCAAAAAAAAAGCCTTTAACTTCACGGAGTAGTATTATTATTATTTATATTAGTAAGAGGTAACTTAAATAAATAAGATGTCAGACATGTATTTTCAATATGTCACCTTTGATATTGTTATAAAAAAATATATTTATAATGTGAAGATTTAAGTAATTTAATTCAAAGTTCTAAAATATTTTTGGTGTTAAAGAGTAGACAATCTTTCTTTCTTTCTTTTATGCAAGGTTTTTTGTACTTTTTTTTTTGCAAATTTTAATATTGTCTAACTTGAAATAAAATCATAAAATCCATTACTGAAAAATTTTGGGGACCTATATCAAAGCTTTACTAGTCTCCTACTCGAGCTACCTGTCCACCCATTCGCAATCAAATTTTATGGAGTTTCAGTTAAGATAAAATAAAAATCAGTGAATGAGTTATTTAGTTATAAAATATGAATGAAACTGGTTGAACAACACGTACATAGGGCAGTGATCTATAAATAATTGTTCATCATTAACCTGGACGGCTCAACGGAACTAGTGGTTTAAAACTAAAATATATTAGAAGACCCTGAAATTTCTGTCATAAAATCCATATACTATATAAAAAAAAAAAAGTTTACATGGCTTTGATCTAGTGGTAAGAGAGGAACGTATAATGTGTGGGTTAGGCACACGTAATATGGTATTGAACTCTCCCCTGTACAAAAATGTAGCATTAAGTGAAAATAGTTGAGCCTATTATCGATCGTGTTTTGAACCTTATGTACACTTATCTTGGGGATTTCTTAGTTAAAAAAGATGAGATACAAAAGAACTTGCTTTTTGATGTGTGGATCAATCAAATGTGACAAAAAGGATTAGCTAATTTAGAGAATCTGAATTGAAATTAGAAATTAAAATAGTGAAAAATATGAAAAAAGACTATACATAAAGAAGAAAAAAAATTAGGTTTGATGAGAAGATAAATATATTATTTAATTTAGTGATCATTCAATCCTACCTCTACCAAATTTCAAAAACAAATATTAAAATTTAAAATATTTTATCAATAATTGTATAAATATGAAATACATATATATTATATAACCATATAATAGTACTTTATATTTGTGGGGCCTTAAATATTTGGGGAGAGGGGGGGAGGGGTGCACAGTTAGCGAGTAATAAGACATGTATTTACTTTTAAGCCACTGTTTAAAATGTCTTTAATCTTTAGCCAGGGCTTTAGTAAATTTTTACCCGCCCGGACGAAAATACCCTTCTGCTCATAAAGTTCAGGACCAAGTGTCCTTAACTTATGAGCTTGTTACTGTAAGTTCAGGACTAGTTGTCCTTAATTTATGAGCTTGTAAGTCTAAGTTAAGGATTACCTGTCCTTAACTATTCCGATAACCTCCCTACTTCGACGATCGTCCTCCATTTTTCCAAACAACTTGCAGCTCCCACTTTCTCTTCTTCGCACTCACCTTTTTAAGCTACATACTTACTTTTCCTCAATCTTTATCCTAACAAGAAAAGTCCTAAATATCGAGCATAACAGTTGCTTGCAGGAATTTTAGGTGGGATGGAAGACTGCTGACAAAGAATAGACTATAGCCAAGTTACAGCTCATGAAAATCCGACGCTTTCACTCACGCCGTTTGGGAAGGAAAAGAGATAGAAGAAAGGGCAACATCGTCTTTTCATATTTGTTTTAATAGACTCAGCATTAAAAATGTTGGATAAAAAGTAAATACTACTTTAAAAAGTGGCTACCCACTCAATTTTTACCTCATATTTAGGTTAAAATAGCACGGTCTAGCCAGTTTTCGGATTGTTCATTCAAAAATAGCAGCGTTTATCAAGTCAATAAAAAATAGCCACTATTTTGCTGCAACAGAGACCGGTCCAGCATAGCATACTGGAGTACGGTGCACCTGTGTATGAACTTCCAGCATATTATGCTGGAACTCCAATTCACGAAAAGTTCCAGCATAATATACTGGAGATTCGAGCACTTGTGTATGAACTTCCAGCATATTATACTGGACCGATATACTTTGCTGGAGTTCTAGTGTACTTATGCTGGAACTCCATCATATTATGGTGGAGTTCCAGCATACTTATCTTGGAATTCGAGTATAATATGGTGGAGTTCAAATATACTTATGCTAGAACTCCAACATAATATACTGGCCTATTTTTCGGGTTTTGAATAGTATTTTCGCTCAGATTATTTTTACATGAAAAGTGGCTAAATTTCGATTACATTTGAAACTGAGCTATTTTTGATCGACCACCGGTACAATGTGGCTATTTTTTAATTTCTCCCCATATTTAGTGGTCTTCTTCGGCCAAGTCCATTAAGCTGACTACGCCTCCCCCTCTCTTCCCCAGTGCGGCCTGCTGCTCCGGCGAACTTCTCCGGCGAGTCATAACTGCCTCTTTCTCCTGTGAAAATCTAAGTTATAGGTTCCCCTCTTTGTTTCTCCTGCTCTTCGAAAACCCTAATTTCTCTTCTTCTTTTTTGTTAAGTATTTTTTTTATAATTATTTTTGAACTCTGTAATGCTTCATATTCTTTGCGCAATCAGGAAGATTTGATTTTTTTCAAGTTGATAATTTTTGCATTCATATTTGCTTCCTGTAATAGCTCCAAATTTTGAAATGGTGTACTAGTCTGCCTCTTGACTCTTGAGTATGAAATAAAAATATAAAACGCTCAAAGATGAGATTTTTATTATTGCATTTTGCTCTGCGAGTTTTTTGCTCATTGAAATCAAAGTCTCCGAATTGATCAGATATTTCAAATTATACAAGCAGCTGATTTCAATTTCTTATGAAAAAATTATGCTTCCTCCTTCAATCTCTCGCCTTTTCTTGAAGACCAATTCAGCCAATAAGCCAATTTTTTTACTCAAGAAGGTCCTTTTATTCACCACTTGTTCATCATCAGCTGGAGAATTTTTGGGTCATTTGCTGAAAAATAAAAATGGGTCTGGTATGGAGAAGACTCTGAACACAGTTAAGGCTAAACTAGATGCTAAATGTGTTAATGGAGTATTAGAGAAATGCGCCGTTGATGATCCTCAAATGGGTCTCAGATTCTTCATTTGGGCTGGACTTCATCCCAGCTATAGACATAGCAGTTACATGTTTAGTAGAGCTTATAAGCTTCTTGGATTTGATCGTGAACCACAAATTATTCAAGATGTCATTGAGGTTTATAGGCTGCAGAATAATTATGTTCCAAGTGCTAGGATGTTTAAGGTTATTTTGAATTTGTGTAGAGAGGGAAAAGATGCTAACTTGGGCTTGTGGGTGTTGAGGAAAATGAAAGAGTTGAATTGTAGGCCGGATACGCCAGTGTATAATGTAGTTATTCGATTATTATGTGAGAAAGGTGTTATGGATGAGGCAATGGGTTTGATGAAAGAGATGGATTTGATTGATCTTCGTCCTGATATGATCACTTATGTTGTGATGATTAAAGGGTTGTCTGAGGTGGGTAGGTTGGAAGAAGCTTGTGGATTAACCAAAGCTATGAGGGGACATGGATGCGTGCCAAATACGGTGACCTATTCAGCTCTTCTTGATGGGATTTGTAGGTTCGGGAGTTTGGAAAGGGCGCTTGAGTTATTGAGAGAAATGGAAAAAGATGGTGGGCAGTGTAAGCCCAACGTCGTTACTTATACTACTGTGGTTCAAAATTTTGTTGAGAAAGGTCAGTCGATAGAGGCATTAAATATTTTGGACCAAATGAGGGATTTTGGGTGTAAACCAAATAGGGTGCTTATCTGTGCTTTGATTCAGGGTCTTTGCAAAGATGGGCATATGGAGGAAGCGCATAAAGTCATCAACAGAGTAGCTGAAGGTGGTATTCCATATGATTCTTGTTACAGTTTTGTAGTTTTATCACTGTTTCGGATTGGAAAACTCAAGGAGGCAGAAATGTGTTTTAGGAGAATGTTGGCTGGTGGCCTAAAGCCTGATGGTTTGACCTCAAGCACAATAATGAGATGGCTTTGTCAGCAGAGAAGGATACTTGATGGATATCACTTGATTGACGCGATTGAGCAGTCTGCAGGCGTATCTTCTATAGATTCTGATATTTATTCTATACTTATGGCTGGACTATGTGAGGAAAATCATCTTGTTGAAGCTGCAAAGCTTGCTAGTGTAATGGTAGGGAAAGGAATTCAGCTTAAAGGTCCTTGTACTAAGAATGTAATTGAATGTCTTAGACGTTGTGGCAAAGAAGATTTAGCTTCAAGCATTGGTAGTATTAAGTGCTGATGAATGACCAAGATTGCTTTAATATCGTGATCCTACTTTTGCCTCAGCATTGTCAACAAACAGCCACCTCACCGTTGAGATTGACCCTCAATTGTATTCCATATTCCACCTAATTGAATTCTTCTCCAGTTTTGTGCAATAAAAAAAATAGTTGGGCTTCTAGTCAGGTTGGGTTGATAACTCTTTTCAGATTTCAACTTACATCTCATTTATTGATTTTGCACTCTGATTTGTGTATTGTCGGCCGATATTCTTATCCAGCATGAGGTGGAAAGAGCAAGTGAAGTTCTCCTTTGAATATTCAGTTGAGGTAACACTGATTGGTGTATTATTTTATAGCTAATAACATGGAATAACAATACATGGATTAAAGCAAATACTAAATTTTATATCGTGATTATTCTATCTAATACATAAAACCAAATGAGTCCTCAGTGAAGAAATTTCCGAGACTTCAGACATACAGTTACGTCAATAAGATGTGCAAAGCAAGTGGTCCTATTTATTTTTATCTTCTAGGATGTGCTCCCGTCATTATACCTGACAATTATCCCTCTATTTTTTGAGGTTTTCCATCATAGGAAAAGGACATTCCAAGTTCAACGAGTATACTCCTTTTCTCTGAGGAAAAGTACCTTGAGATGCAACAGAGGGTCAAACCGGTACATAAGAATTTCATTTGGTATCTGAGCTGTCAAGTATGATTTGTTTCATATGATTTTCACTCTCTTTGGAACAATAGAGTTTTTAGTATGAACTATCTGATTGAGAAGTATTGAATTATAGTTGTAGCACATGTAAAATATAGAAGAAGGCCATTGACCCTCTGGAGCTGGTTCTTCCCACCGCTGAATACTTCTCTGCTGCCTGTTTTAGTGATGATACTTTTTGCCAAACAGAGAAAAGTAAAAGTCTTATCACTCAAGACAGCCAAAAGAATACAGTCCGACCTTGAATTTGGAGGCGTGTAATTCATGCACCAGTGCTTGAAGGAAAATATTTAAAGCAGGGGTGTGAGAGACAGAGAGTAGAGAACAAGTAGACAGTATTTAACAGTTTGCAAGAAATATTCGTTCATTTTGCTTCACTTTCATTTTTTGTTCGATGACCAGCAGATTGGTGTCCAAAAGATGTCTGAAGACTTCTGTGGTTTCAATCAATGTGCCACCATGGAACTATTTGTAGCCCAGTTAAAAAAAATCTGAAAACATGCGGGTACTTGAATAGATCAATGCATGTTAGTAGAGAATAATGATTTTAAATTCGATCTTCTCTGATGTGAGAAATTAAAATTTGAGCTTGGCTGATTATTATGACTTCATTTCAAGTTAACATGTCCATCAACTTCTACTCGGATTTGCATGAATTTATCTCGCATTTGCTACAAAGAGAAGCAGTAGAAAGAGCATAAGGGTAAGAAACAGGACCGCTTGCTTTGCACCTCTTATGGACCATATTAGGAGGAATGCATTATTCGGCGTTATCCTGTTAAGAGAACTGGTTCCAGCTTTTGAAAGGATACTATTGCGTATTCACCCGGACAAGTGCTTGGCGCGTACATTTTTGTGAATAGAAATTACTCAAGTTGTTAATAGACGTGCATGGCATGCAGACATCTGAAGTTTTAAACCTATACAAGGTATATAATGTGTTCTTTTTTTTCATCATATATAATGTGTTCTTGATGTTTGTTTATTGATACTAATTAATAACTGCTCTTTCTGGATTAGAAGCGATACTGTCTGGAATGGATCAAATGCACTCCATTTAAGTCCCCTCTACTCTCCAGTCGGACGTTTTGGAGTTTGCACCTGTGAAGTGTGAACTAGAAAATGGACTTCGAAATGACTCCTGAAAGTTTTATCTTTCAGATACATAAAATTTGGTTTCTGGATTTGTGCGAATGTTGGAAAGTCCTTTTTCTTTGGTAGTCTGATGCTATTTTCTTCTTCTTCTTGAAACTTCACTTTATTGTTGTGATCAGACTTGCGCTGTTTTGTTTCCCTTCTTGCACAGATAGAAGCAGAAACTGGTACAAGACATTGTCGTAACAGTAAACTTTTTCAATTAGATGGAGATAATTGCATAAAGTTGTCAGAAATAAAACGAAGAATGATCAACATTGTGATCATGCCCGATATATACATATCAGTACTGCAGATGAGGATACATGGAGGTAGCATGTCTGATCATCCCTTCCAATATAGGCAAACCAAGTGCACGTTTGTTATGAATTTTGGAGGAAGAATATAAGAACCAAACATATCTAGCTAACTGCATAAATACATTATACTTTGATCCTCTCCGTGTCTTTGTCAACAAACTATGAGGACAGTTAGTCTTTTGTTCAATATTTAACCAAGTTTGCTACACGGAAGAAATACTGTCTCTGCAAATTGAGTTGTGATCCGATGGTAAAAGTTGATGGGCCTAGCTCAGACAAACTTTAAGCACTACTGTACTTACTTGGATTTCTCCACTTGTGAAAATACATTGCGTTATTCGTAGAGACTTTTTCCTTCCTATACCATATATAAAATTTTATTACCAAAAATGTGTATAGTTTTATATTTACCCGCTATGTTCATAGTTATTCTACAAAAAATATACCATTCATTAAATACCAATTATTAGGAGTTGATTCCTTCCTAATTAGGCGCGCTACAAATCTGGAACTAAATATTCTTCCAGATATTCCTATTTAGGCGCGCTACAATTATGAAAGTAAATATTCTTCCAGATATTTTCCACCATTGACAGCCATTAAAAAGCTTGAAAGCTTTGAATTCAAATTTGGGTTTTCAAAAATCATTATTTGTTTGGATTGGGTGTTGTTGAAAATAATCGGGAATATGGTTTGGAGTTTATATCTCAATTTTGAGGGGTTTTGGTGAAGATTAGACTTGGTTTTGACTGAATTTCAGATTGAAACTCGAAGAAGAAGAAGACATATTGCAGAAATTGTAGATTATTTGTATTCTGATTGTTGATGCTTTATTTTTTGTTTTCACAAATAAAAAACGGCTAAAAGTTCTACAAATCTTCTGAAAAAATGCAATTATGTCAAAAATCACAATTATGCTACAATTGAATGGGAATTGGGATATAAAAATTCAATGTACCCAGTTTGTAGATATTTTGTAGATGAATTGTAGATTATTTGTATTCTAATTGTAGATGCTTTGTTTTCTGTTTTCACAAATCAAAAACGACTAAAACTTCTACAAATCTTCTGCAAAAAACAATCTACAATTTATCTACAATTTTTCTACAATTTCTGCAATATGTCATCTTCTTCTTCTTCTTCTTCGAGTTTCAATCTGAAATTCAGCCAAAACCAAGTCTAAATCTTCACCAAAAACCCTCAAAATTGAGATATAAACTCCAAAACATATTCCCAATTATTTACAACAACACCCAGTCAAAACAAATAATGATTTTTGAAAACCCAAATTTGAATTCTTTCGTATTCGGATCTCTTATCTCCGCAGCATATCTACCCCATGGCCTTCTCCTTACGCCTAAGTATCTGCAATTGTTCCTCTGCATTTTGAGTACTACTTATATTGCTGTCATTCTTTCTTGGTTTTGTGCTCTTGTTGTTTGAAGAAGTGGATGATTTGATGATATTCATATTCAAATTCATTAACGTGGGGGTGGGTTTGGTAGAGAGAAACGTAGGGGTGGGGGGGGGGGGATTTGGAGGAATATACGGTAGCGTTAATTAAGGAGTGATATATGGTACATTAATTGTACAGTTAAAATACATTATGGTGAGAATTGGTAATTAGGTATACTAAATGTAATTAAATCAAACCTTAAACATTGAGCGTAATATAGTTTCCTATATGGAATAGGAATGTAAAAATTTCGTATACGGTCAAAATTAGAGGCTTCCGATTTATAGGCTCGAAGGTCCATCCTGGGCCCAAGTCCGGGCAAGGTCGAGTTCGAGCTCGGTGAACCAGATTCGAGCTCGAAGACAGAGTGCAATGCTCGAGAGATAGGAGTACGAAGAGTGTCAGGGCTGAGTATGCTCGACCCCGAAATAGTACCGTTATGGATTTACAACAGAATGAGCTAGATTCCCGCCACGTCCCCAAAATCATGGCGCAAATCCCGAAATAGGATCGTACAATTCCGTACTAGGCGGTTAGACAGCTGTACCAAGAATATTCCTTACTGTAAATAGAAATATACCTTATTTAGGGTTCCCCTATTATATAAAGGGGACCCCAATCATTTGTAAGGATCATCTAATCATTTGAAGCAAAGAATATACTCTTTACTTTTTGTTTACTATTCATCAGAATTGTCCTTTAGCTCTGTTGCTCTTACTTTACATTTCTTGCTTAATAGTTCTTATTATTTTAAACCCACCTCGAGGTCACCAAGCTCGAGGTCACTGCTGCTGAGTTATATTGGTTTGATTCACTTATTCCTTTCATTTCTACTTCATATTTCTTGATTATTAATTGGTATTGAATCTAATCACGTATCTTTAAAACCACGAAACAAATTTAATTGTTACTCGTATTTTCGAGGTAAACATTATTATTGTTGTCGTTGTTATACTTAGTTGGATGATATTAATGGCGATGAAGAAACCCCCCCCCCCCCCTAACTTAAATGGTGGTTGTTTAAAGTCGATTCAGTTGGTCGATTGATGGTTTGATGCAATATCGTACTATATCTAATTTTTCTATATGAATTCAGAACTTGATTCTCTGTTTGTTATAATAAAAAGCATTCAAAATTATTTTAAAACCATAATGAAAACCTTCACTTCCTAGGTAATAATTACGAAATATAGGAAAATAATTGGAAAAAAAAAACTCAAAAAAAGGAGGAGGAGGAAGTGACACTTTGCACAAATTTGGGGCAATAGCCACGTCATTAAATCAAATATAATCCCCTATACCAAAAAATACGACTAAGAAAACGTGATTCGTGGATCGAGAGACCTTTGGGTTTTGAACGTCACCCTCTCCTATAAATCTTACTTTAATTAATTATTTATATTAATTATCCATATTATTAAGACTTTCAAATTTCGTGGCACACACATATAGATATAGGAAAAGGAACAATCTGAATTCCCAAGTAGAGTATTATCTAGGGTTCTTAATTTCCAAGCTATCTCAACTTTTTTTCCCAATTCCGATCCAGTTACTTTTTTCAAATCAAGGATCTCATCATCTCTGCGAAAACTTGGCCGTCCGATTGACTTTCTCTGAATATGGTCAAAATTTGCAAACCCTACCTTGATTTCATTCAAAGATCGAATCTGTTTTGCCATTTTAGTGTTTCTGATCCGTTCCACATATAATTTTGATCAAATTCAGGAAAAGGGTTCCGTTTTTTGTATATTGATTTTGAAGATAGTCATGAGAATTATGTTGGGGTTTTTGTTATAATTTTGAATTTTAGGTAAAAGTTTGTGGTTTCGTTTGAATTGTTGAAATTACTTTGTTCACTGAGTTGTGTAAATCTCTTTATTGTGATCAGTGGGCTGTGTAAAATTTTTTTTTTTTTTTTGGGGGGGTCTGAGGAAGTGTTATCATGTATATAGAGGAAGAGAGGGGGGGAGAGTTGGAGAGTAGGGAGGAAGGGGAGGAGGTGGTGGAGAAGGCAGAGAAATCATCTGCTGCTGCTAAGGTGTTGTGTTGTAGTGGTAGTAGTGGCAAGAATGCCATTGTTGTGTTGGATGTTAGGAGGGTCATGGTTGGAGTTGGGGCTCGGGCATTGTTTTACCCGACACTTCTTTACAATGTTGTTAGGAACAAGATTCAGGTTGAGTTTCGCTGGTGGGACTGGATTGACGAGGTATGACACCTTTTGTCATCCTGTTTGCCTTGGTTTTTTATCTGGATGTATGTTGATGTGCAGATGATGTCAATATGCTTCAATAGTAATTTAGTTAAATTGGGATGTTTTTGTTTATAACGTCAAATCCCTATTTCATATTCTAATGCTAATCTATGTAATGAATTGATAGTTTTTGAACTAATTATAGTAGAAATTCATGCTAACTAGTTGTCATCTGAGGCATAATAGATCTATTCTGTTTCTCAAAAGCGTTGTCTGGAAATGTCATTTATATTAAGGTTGATTACTTTGATTGCTGATGCTGAACTGTTATAACATCTTGCTGAACTTCTAAGTCATGAATAATGCTAGTACTATATGCATGTTATTCAGAAAATAAGGGCGGAACTGAATTTTGCAGAAATATCAATTGCTTAATTTCTCTGGAAGAGCAAGTCCTTAGACATACTTGTCAATAATCAAAAAGTCATGTAGAACATTGTAGTACTCTGTATCAAATGCGCTAGCAAGATTATTATACTTGTCTATCCTAGGAATCATATGACTATGACACCTGGGCACTAATATGTTTTTCTGATAACCTATACACGCGCGCGCGCACACACACACACACACGTGTGTGTGTGCATACATGCACGTGTGAATGCGTGTGTGTTTTCTGATGATCTGCTTAATGAAATTTGCCTCTAATCGGCAACAAGTGGCAAAAGAAGCATAGGTGACTTATCCAGGGAAATGGACCAACAGCAAACTTGTTCAGCTCTTCTTTTCTTTTCCCCACTATGAAGTTAGTTACTGTCACTAGCAGTATCCCGATTTAACTCTCTGACATTTCTTAACTCCATATGCATCTATTTTTACATCAAAGATTAAGTCTGCGTGTATGCATTCACCATCTTGGAAGATCGCATAGACCGATTTGATGTTCATGCTGTTTCAATTCTTTTTCGGTGAAGATTGTGTTGGTAGTTTGTACCTCAATATTTTACTGTAGCCCTTGGGCCAACTCTTCAATGCAGAAATAAAAAGAGAACAGAAAAAAATAATAAAAGATTATATTTTACTGACTTAATCTCTCCTTTAGTTTGTGTTATTAGGTGCTGTCCCTTTCCAATCTGATGTAAAAAGGCTAAAGGAGCTTGGTGTTTCCGGTGTTGTCACCCTAAATGAGCCATATGAGACCTTAGTTCCAACTTCTTTATATGAGGTTAGTTTTTGACTTTTGCTATTTGCTTTGATCTTTCTGTTATGCTTCACTTAAAAGAGAAAAAAGAGGGATAAGTCCATCTTCATTCAAGCTTCACCTTCATGCCCCCTCCCCTTATTTCATCTGTACCCCTATTGAATTGGGACTGTTTAAGCGTTCTTTAGCCATGCGCTTGTGAAAGTAGTGGTAGTTCAGAAGTATTGCACTAGCTGAGGAGGCTGTACATGACGTACTTGTTTTTGGTGAAATAGTCCATCTGTTCGTAGTGATCTACTGATTGTATTTCTATCTTCTTAGTATTATTTTTACCAAAATTATATAAATATGGGATGAATTAGTTGTTGCCTTTCTGCTGCAACCTAGTAAAAGATAAATCTTTCACTTAATTCTCACATTTTACTTTTCGGGATTAACTAGTTACGTGGCATGATGTCACATTTTTTTAAAACTTCGGATTTGTTATTTAAATTTCCTTCCCATTACATGATCAAGTGTTTTTTTCTCTTTGTTCACATTAGTTTCATCTGTTACTTCTTGTAGGCTCATGGTATTCGTCATTTGGTTCTGCCAACAAGAGATTATTTATTCGCCCCATCACTGCATAATATATGTCAAGCAGTAGAGTTCATCCATGGTGAGTATAATCTCATCCCTTTGGCTCCCCATTTTGGTTATTTGTTGATTTTGCACTATTGTCAAAGATCTTGACCTTAATTTCTTGGATGCTTTTTACATTTTATCATGACATCACAGTCACTTACCAGCTTGATTCATCTAATTGTCTCAGAAACTGGAACTACGAGCACAGCCCCCATCATATCTCAAGTGACACTGACACACTTCAAAGTCTGAGGGTCAAAGTGTCCAATTCTCACGTTGACATCGATTCTTTGAGAATAAATTTTTTATGATTGAAACCAGACAAAAGTACTTTAAACTGCATGTTTATTAAATTAAAATATTTTACAACTATCAAAAGAAAATGATGGTTAAGGAAAAGTCAACAAAACTGTGGTCCAAGCAAAATTCATTTGATTCATTGCATTTTTTTTACCTTATCAAAAAGAAAAGATCAAAATTTGTATGATTCACAAACATTTGTTAAGTTGCTGCTCTTCTATTTGGATATAGTACTTGTTGAGGTATCTTTCAATTTGTGTATTGACTTGTGATTTTTTATATGCAAAAAAGTACAATAAAATAGGCTGCAATGATGTTTAAAAGCAAAACTTTGTAGCGTAAATCATAGATGTTTAGCTCCTTTAGCCTTTTGGCGTAAAACTGAAAGCGTACGTGATGTAGATAGGATGATTAATTTCCTTGGTTCTTTTCATATGTAGCTATTGTGCTGAGATTGCAATTGGTTGTACTACTCATTATTGCACTCTCTGGGTGCTATTTTAATAAAATTTTCATTACAATTTTAAAAAATTAAATAAGCCGCTATAAGATGCTTAGCTTTTACCCATGTGTATGTTTTCTGTTATACATGCATTGCAAGGCTCTTACAAATATACCCATGTATATTTTCTTGTCTTTGAAGAAAATGCTTCCAACGGACAAAGTACATACGTGCATTGCAAGGCTGGTCGAGGACGTAGCACAACAATTGTCTTATGCTACTTGGTGGGTAAACTAAGACTTGTTTGAATCGATTGTTTAAAGATCACTTTACGTATTTTCTCCTAAAATTTATTTTGTATTGTAGGTTAAGTACAAGCAGATGACACCAAATGATGCATATAACTATGTGAAGTCAATTCGTCCGAGGGTGCTTTTGGCCTCTTCCCAGCGGCAGGTGTCTCAGAGATTTGCCTCACCTTTTACTCTTTTTGTCCCTTCTCTTTGGATGCATGATTGTTTTGCCTTGTGAGATTGATGAAAAGATATACTCCTGCTGCCTTGGTTTTCTCTATTCTGGTTATTGTTGCTGACTCTTTTTGTTCATTAATAATCAGGCTGTAGAGGAGTTCTACCATCTCATGGTGAAAAGGACATACAGTTGTAGCCCCTTGACTAGTCTGATCTCAAGGAACTCGAGGTTCTTGGCTGGACGGAATTTGTTAGCCTTCGATGATGGTGCTGTGGTTGTGATAACCGAAGCAGATCTAGATGGATATGATCATAGCGGTGACTCTAGGGTGGATGGATCTGAGATCTGGGCTGATTTGAATTTGATTTACAGGGTTCGAGTTGCCGGTGGGGCAGCCTTAGCAAGGCTCTCCTGTATGTGGTTTCGGTGTCACACGGACCAGAAGATACCGAGTCAGAAGCTGACTGCAGAGAGCAAGCAGCTGGGAAGTTTTACTGTTGATATACATGTGTTTTCTTAAGTTTAAATTTGTACATATTTCTTCAGTATAAAAATGCTACAAGGAGCCTACTGTTAATCTTTCTTTACCAATGGAAACCTTGACTTTCTCAATGTAAATACAATATAGTACTTCTCAAGTTGCTAATGAGAAGTCTGAGTATATATATGTATATATAGCTGTATGCAGAACTTGAACTTTCAATGAAGGACTTGAGTGCTTTCTTTTGCTTGTGGTGCCATCAACCAAATATGGGGCAACAATACTGCTGCATTTCTTGAATGGTCATTCCAAGATGATATCCTTGTAACCATTTCAGAAAAAGAAAAAAGAAGAAGAAGATGATATCCTTGTAACTTTATGAATTGCACTTTTCCAGCTTTACCCAAGGTTTGCAATCCAAACAAATTCTTCAGATAAACATTAGTATACCAGAATGAGTAAAACAGGAGATTTTTTTATTTATTTTTTTGGGGTAAGGAGGAACCCGCAGCCGCTACAGCCTTTGCAACAGCCTCTGCCCTTCGGCTGGGTAAACCTCCCTGTGCAATAGCCTGCAAACCACACAGGGAATGTAAATCGCACTAGGCAAGCCCTGTGCGACAGGCTCAACCCAGAAAGCATTGAGGGGGGATCGATTACAGGTCATCCGTATGGATGACCACCCTCCAAAGGAAGGAGAATTTTTTTTTTTGACATTTTGCAGTACAAATAGGAAAATGCAAAAACCAATCCTTTCTTGCTTTCTCCAAAGAACTTGCCTTTTTCAGGTAATCTCTATATTGTAAAGATATCTACACTGTCAATGTACCATATTTAGATTTATTAGCTTGTTACAGTTAGTTATAAATCCTCGAAACAATCCTTAAAATAATATTCTCTCATTGCACCCTTTTTCATCACTGACAAGTGTAAATACATCTGGCACAACTGGAATCTGAAACTACTCCAATAGTCAATTGATAAAGACTATACTAGACAATGTAAGAGAAGTCTTAAAAAGTTACTCCACTATATACGTACAAGCCGAGGGTTAATATTTAGACTTAGCTTTTGTGACTTATAATTATCAAAACAATCCTTTATTTTATGATTTCTCTATCACTTCATCCTTTTTCATCATTGAGAAGTGTTAATGCCAGATGAAATTCTCACCAAATAGCTGAATAACAAAAAAAAAAAAAAAAAACGTACGTGCTAAGTATTAACTAGTACCGGACTGCTAGTATTACATTAATAATAAGCAGTCTGCTAATCTTCATATCTAACAAAAACTTGATATAGATTAATATATTCTAACACAAAAACCTAAACATAAAAATTACTTGAAGACACTTTAATAGTAGTAATTTTTTTTTTTTAACACCATAGTCCTTAACAAGAAATTTTTTTAATTAGTGGACCACTTGATCATCAGTTTTATTCTTTGGTGGTCCATCAATCAAATATGGGACAACATATTGTTGCATTTCTTGAATATCCATTCCAAGGTGATATCCTGGTAACTTTATGAACTTCACTTTTCCAGCTTTATCCAATGTTTGTAATCCAAACGTATCCTCTAGATAAAGATTAGTCTGCCAAAAAAAAATATTATTACTCCTAAAATGTAACATGTTTTTTTATTTTAAAAAGTAGAAATAGGATAATAATATTACCTGTTGCGGTGGCAAAATTTGAGAGTAGGTTCCATCTTGATAAAAGCCAAACCAAGAACTTTCTTTTGGATTTATCACATTGTCATTTTCAAACTGTAAATATATTCAAAATAAAATGGGGATTCTATAGTAAATATATTATTGAATAAATAAATGTAGTTGGAGATTAAGAAAGATTTTTTTTTTTTTTTTTAAAAAGGAGCAAAATGTACCATGATAAGGACAAGGTTCTGCAAGCTGGTGAAACGTTGCTTATAAATGGGATTAGTTGCATTAGGAATTTCATTATTAAGCTTTGGCAGATACCTACAACCTCTCAAGTATCCATCAATATCCTGGAGGGTAAAAAAGAGAACACCAAATTAAAGAAAATGTTATATTTTGTTGGGAAAATGACACTGTATAGCTGCTTTTGAAATAATAGCAAAATAAATGTATTTTTTTGTATATTTTTTGTGTATATATACATTATGTATGTAATATACAAAAATTATACAAATTTATACATTTGTTCGACTACCAAATGTAAATAGTTTCTGCCGCGGGTTAAAAGTGGAAAAAACCCTAATTTGTTTCCATAAAAGATAAGAATATTTAAGTATATAAACAAAGAAATATAAGTTAATAAACAAGAATACTCACATTTGGAAGCTTGGTGTAGCCACTAGGAGCATAATGAGCCTAAGATTTGCAGATTAATTAAAACTCAATGTGTTAGAAATAATTACTTGAAATATTTGAAAGCAAAAAGAAAAATATTAAAAGAGATTTTGAAGAGAGTATTACTTGAACATAGTCAGAGTATATTCCAACTCCAGAAGCACCACCAGCTCCAGCACACCAAGGACCACCCTATCAATTAAAGAACACTAATTATTTTTATTATTATCGGTATAGTTTAACTTGTAATAGCATGTTAATTGTCATTCGTATTAAATTACCAAATTTACTTATAGTAGAGATTCACATGTAGCTACTTAAGGGGGGGGGGGGGGGGGGGGAATTGAAATACATTATTATTCTGTTGTGCTGTTATTTTTTAATATTTAGTCTTTTATGCTCTTTGTTGTTGGTTAGTCGCGATCGAATTTTCGCATTATTAAGTTTGTTTTTACACCATCAATACATAGATATAAACTATATTATTATAACTATTATCGTTATTGTTGTTATTACTACGAGTCTACGACATGGATGGATGCAAAATTACTTACAGCGCAGGCAGGAGCATCAGCAACACCAGCATTAGGTCCACCTATTGAGATAAAATTCTTGACCTATGGCACAATTAAGTTCCAAAAAAAAAAAGACCACAAAATGCAAAAAAATGAAACGTAAATAATGAACATAAAAAGAAAAAAGTATTGGTAAAATATAATTGTGATAAAATTCTCACTGGAGGTGCTCCATCACAGAACTCTATAAGCCCTCTAGCTACCATATTTCCCTGAAAAAAACACATTTCCCATAAATAAAATATAGATCGCCACACAAAGGAGACTTGGAGCAACGGTAAAGTTGTCTCTGTGTGACTTATAGATCACGAATTTGAGTCGTGAAAGCAGTCACTAATGCTTACATTAGGGCAAGCTATCTACATCACACTCTTTAAGGTACGACCCTTCTCGAACCCTACGTGAATGCAGTATGCTTTCTGCACCGTCTGCCCTTAAATTGCCATACATTTAATTGGAAGACATAAGGAAAAAGTAAGGGAGACACATTTATGGTTATAGATGAATATTTACCTGTGAGAGACCAACTAAATTGTAACTTTGTTGAAGTTCATTCATTCCCTTCACCTATAATTTAATTTCAGACATTGTCAATATGATTTCATTTTTATTTTATTTTATTTCTAGAAAGGAAAGTTGAAAAGAGAAACAAAAAGAATCTCGTTACCTTTTCACAAGCAATTTGAACCTACAAAAGTACAACATGGGCAAAAAGAAAAGGCACGGATTACAATTCATAAAAAGCACAAGAATTTTATGCAATTAATTAATTGTATCGAAATAATGAGAAACAATAAGAATCACTACTTTATTTCAACTGTTACCTGATTGTCTAGAGGCATGCTGTAGGAATCATACGCTCCATTTCCAATTTCTCTGCACAAAAAAAAAATCTGATTAAAATTACCTATAACATTATGTAATTTTATGTAATTAGTATATCAAAATAAGCCTTAGGACTAACTCACACCCCAAAAACTAGCTCGAAGGGAGGAGGATTACCCAAGCCGTATAAAGTTTGGGCATTAATCCTCCTCCCTTCGAGCTAAGCTAGCTTTGGGGTGTGAGTTAGGCCCAAGACTTATTTTGACATATACCTAATTTGGTAACTTAAAAGATAAGGTAAATAACATGATGTAATAGGTAAAAGTTACACTATTATGGTGTAAAAATTCAACTCTGACTTGTATTTCTCACCTTCATCCCTAGTGGAAATTGTCAGTAATAATCATAAGACGAAAACAACAACAACATATTCAAAAAAATTATGGAGGTAGGGTCTGGGGAGGGTAGTCAATAGTGTATAGGCAAACCTTAATTCTACCTTGTGAAGGTAGAGAGATTGTTCCCGATAGACCTCGACTCAAGAAAAACAATAGCGATAATGAAGACACAGCAAAATAACAAAGTGTTAAGATAACCGAAGCAAAGGATACAAGTAGTAATAGAAATCGAAAAATAAGATAATACGAGAATGGTAATAATAATATTGATATATGTGAAAAATAAGGAACATATACGTTGTCCCAAACTCGAGTATGTACTATCCTTCAACCCTAACACTCGATCTCCATATCCCTCCGTCTAGGGTCAGTAATAACAATGATAAGTATAACAAATTTATGGTTTAGATGATTGATTCATGGATGAGAAGAAGACAAATTAAATATGTAGTTATTAAAGTAATAACAAGGAAAACAAACAAATAACGTACAAGCAGTATCCATTAGATCTAGACAAGAGGCTGAGTTGTGACGTATAAAATGTACTTCCTGCATCATTACACGACTGTCCAAGCCCTGCCATGGCCCAAAAAAAAAGAAAAAAAGAAAAAAAAATCGTAATTCTCCATTTCAAAAAAAGGAAAAAAGGAAATATTAAAATTTTATTACACAATATATATAAATACAAATATTACCATGCAATACTATGAAAGGAGTAGAAAACGAAAGACATATGGAACAAAAGACTGAAATGATAAAGAGAATGAAAGTTTCTGAACATAAATAAGCCATCGATTGAACTTCTTCTTTTTCTTGATCTTTTTTTTCTTTTTTTCTCTAAATACAAATATAAATCGCTTTCTTCTTTGTTTACAGGTTTTGCAAAGAAGAAATGGAGGGATGTGCAGAAGTTTCAGCTTTAGTAAGCTATGGATATATACTACCACTTTAAGAGCAATCAATATGGGGACAAATTTAGAATTATTTCCTTTATTCCTCCTCTTTCTAAATATTTTTCCACTTTTTTTGGATGAGTTTTATTTGGCAATTTTGGATATCCAATTAGTGCTTTGATTTGTTTGCCTTATAATACCTTATTAAGGGTTTCCTTTG